TCTATTCTATTCTATTCTATTCTATTCTATTCTATTCTATTCTATTCTATTCTATTCTATTCTAGTCTTTATCTAGTTTAGTATAGTCTAGTCTAGTCTAGTCTATCCTATTCTATTCTATTTTATCATATTACAGTCTACTTTACTCTATCTTTTTTTATAGAACTTGATTGGATTCTGGTTCCAACCTTGGCTTCATGCTATACTTTTAGGAGGATAAGGGAAATTTGAAGAAAGTAAGAAGTTAAAATGAGCATTAAAAAGACTGTGATACCTTTTTTAGTCATGCTCATCTTTAGAGAGCAATATGACCCTATGTTTGAATCAGGCTGCTACAAGAATACTGCATTCATGTGACAGACCTCAAGTAGGAGAGACTGGCAGCTGCATTCGCCAGGCGGGGAAAACTAAAAAATGCTTGTAGAGGCTGCTCAGTCTAATTATTTTAAATAAGCAAAGCCAATGGTTTAGAGTAAATTAAATAGTAAACAGTAAAGTAAATGTTCGCCAGTCCTGTTTCCCATAAATAAATGGAATATAGGGTCTTAAGAAACCTTGATTCGTAAATTATTGAAGATCGGCTTCAGACACCAAAATTACAGAAGCTATTGAAGGCAATAGATCATGGAACACTTTGAACACTATAAATGGAGGAAAGAAGTTATAAGAGATGTATTCACCCAACTTCGTTTAAGGTGATGAAGAACTGGTAGTATAATTTTGCCGCAATGATATGAGTAGAGCTAACGTTGTGGGAAAATTCTACTTCATCGCCTTAAACGAAATTGGGTGAATACCTCTCATATTTCTGATTTACTGGTAGTCTTAAAACCCTACTCAAATACCAAAATAAAAAACAGATATTTTGAATAATAAGGAAAGCTTTCGTCAGGAAGAAGATATTTAGGGATAAATTTAAATCTAGAAAAGATCTAAAAGTTGACGCGGTTGGTTCACCCGGGTTATTTAACTTAGGAACCAAAAGCGTCGGGAAAGTTTATAGGAAGAAAAGTTGGGTTTCGAGGAATCTTTTGTCTCATAATTGTTGAGTACACTTCAATTTCGAATTTAAATGTTTGGGGAAGTAAATTGAAGGGCGATCCCACCAGAAGACGATGACGGATTCCTCTTGACCAGTTGTCGATAGGCACTACAGGAACATTATTGATAACTCTGCTTCCAAGGCAATCTCCATACATCATGGGTATCATCCTTACAACCATTTTCAAGTTCGAGAGTGCATAAAAGTCATCGGCTCATTCACAAATTCTGTATGTAAACTCTATTTCTTAGCTATTTAATGAGTAGTACAGTTATTTGGTCAGTTCAAGTCAATGTCAACCTCGAAGCATGTGAGTACGTCTGTCTGTGTGTGTTTATGTGCCTGCATGTGTTCGTATATGCAAGCAGTCAGCGTTGATGACAT